CCTGTTTTCGTAAAACAGCCTGTGCCAATGAAGTCTTATGACTGTAGAACAACCCAATTGCTCCATTGGTTCAGAACCTACCGACCCTCCTCATTCCTGAGCGTTGGAACTACTGCTGTCAGTACCACACACTCTAACTACTGCTGTCAGTACCACACACTCTAACTACTGCTGTCAGTACCACACACTCTAATTAGTCCAATCCCTGAGCTGTAACTATTGATGTTACGCTACACGGGTATCAGGGTTTCGTAATGGCAAGACTGGCTTGAAGGCAGGGGACGCCCCCACTTTAAGCAAAAACCTAACGGCAAGGTGTTTTTAAGGTGGACATGTGCTTAGTCTCTTACCGTTTGCAGACATTGATGACTTCACAGCAGTTGAAGAGGTATTCATACTCAGCGCCTGATGGAGAAGACCAAAACAAATATAAGGGTAATAACAGATTTCGACAGAACAACAAATGTAGTGAATCCAAACTAATTCTTTATCAAACGAGAGCCCGCTGTCACCGACTGTTTTGCTCCGTTTGAAGCTTGACCTCGAGCTCGGTTTTGCTTCTAGTTGCCTTATGCTAAAAGAACTGGGATAGTCTCCGACTGGATAGACCACTTGGCCCCATTTGCACAGATTTTACTTAACTTAAATGGTTGCTTCAGGAAAAAGAGATTCTCAAGGGAAAAAGAGAATTCAGGAAAAAGATATTCTCAATGTTAGGGAATTTCTTTCTAAGTCAGGAAAAATTTATGAACACTTTCTGGAAGTATTTAGCCAAGACCGGAAGTTCACGTCATACTTTTTGTATACAACTAAGCAAGGTGGAGTTTAAGCTGCAATCACAAGGTCCAGTCGAAAACAATTGGTGTAGTGAACTCGTTTCGGCCTTCGGATGCGATTCTTAATTAAATCATATTACCTCAATAACATGTCACCTGAACGTGAATCTGAGCAGCGATTGGTTACTGTTTAGTTTTGGTCTAGGTTATCAAATTTGATAACGATCCCGAACGGATGATTCCGTACAAATATGAATTTCTAGCCAGTGCACAGGGAATGTGCACTGGCTAGAAAACAGCATTG